CCACTGACCCCCAAGCCCAGGACCGTGTCAGGCAGGATGGCATGGAGTTCTCAAAGCGGGGTCCCCATTCACTGTTAGAAATGCAAACCACCCAACCACCCCAGAACCTGCAGGGGTGGCCTCATACCTGGTTTTAAGGAGCCCCAGAGTTCTAACACATGCCTACTTTAGCACAGTCCCTCAGCTCCACACAGACAACTAATAGGATGGGCAGGGAGCTTCACTGCTCACACCTCAGTTACCTCCTCTGTAAAATGGGGAGATAACACTGCCCTCACCAGGCTGGTGTGAGAGTCAGTGAGCTAGGAGAGCAGGGCTCCTGACAACCCGGCAGTGTCAGCTGGCACTCTCCCCAGTGCTGTGGCTGCGTCAGGGAATCAGCCGTGTATCCTTCCAGGAAAAAAAGTCAGGCCCAAACGAACTTCCATAGATGCTCCATCATTCTTACCCCGTGCTTTTGCCCACACCTATGCCTGTAGTGTAATTATCTGCTATGAGACCCAAAGCCAACACCTACCTCACTCTCTTACCGTAAAGAGTGGGCAGAAGAGGAGGGGGCCAGTAGGGAGTGGTGCTAGAGGTCTGGAGCTTCCTGGCTGCAGAGTTTCCTCAACTCTGAAATAGCCCTACGCTGCAGGGGCCGTTGCTGCAGGACCCCACCCTCCTTTGAGGGTGGAAGTGACCTGGTGATTATCAGCACAGGTTGGAGCAGACAGCCCAGTCTGCAGCCTGGCCCGTTCTCCATCCTCATTTCAGCCTCTGTACACTGGGGTGATCCCACCATACACCCAAGGGCTCTTGCATACCTGAAATGAGATCTGGCCTGTCAGGAACGTGGCACAGGTCTGGCTCAAAGAACATCTCAGCATTTTTAGTCCCTACATCCCTGTCCAAAGTGCTGGCCATGCTCTCAGGGCTGGCTCAGCCCAACACATACAATGTCAGAGCTGGGCAGTGGTCTGGCCACCAGGCAGAAGGTGGGGAAAACAGCCCACATAGGCCTTGAGAATATCAGAGCTTGTCAGGAAACCTGGGTGGGACTGGTGTTCTCCTCTGAGCACCTCCTTTTCCTTCCTACCCCTTCCTCAAACCTCGATGTGGGCTGCTGCTAGAAAGTGCTGTTGACAACACTGAAGGTGCCAATCACAACCTCTCACCCACCCCACTTTGGTTCACAGAGAAGCCCTTCTGCACCATTCACTGCCTCATTCTCCTATCCCCACCCCCAGAGGCTCCATTGTGATGCTCGTCCCAGCCCCACATCTCTGAGAGCCCTCTAGGGCCACCATGGTCAACATGGGCCACAGAGAGCCAGCATGCTGCCCACAAGGCCAGCCACCTTCCCAGGCACAACAAGTCCTCTGCAAAAATGGTTCCAGGCCCTGCCTCAGGCCAGCAGTCTGTGGTAGAGCTCCAGCCCCTCAGACAGACAACAATGGCAGCTTTTCCATCTGGAAGGGTGGAGGGGAAGAGCAGCTGTGGCGACAGAGGGCGGTTGGCTGAGAACAGAACAAAGAGAAAATCGACAGACCCCGGAGGAGGACCAACAGAGACAAGATTAAAACTCACAGATCACTGGTAAAATGGAGCAGACGGGCCTATCTGGCCCTTGCAGTGGGAAGGAGACGCAGTTCCCATACCCCATCCCAGCTGTCAGACTATCTGCTCCCCAGTAGACTGGGCTCATGGGGCATGGAGTTGTGGACCAAGGGGCACACAGGAAGTATCCCTCAAGGGTAGCCAATTACCCAGGACCCTAATGACAAGCACATCAGGATTTGAACCTGAGGATAGATGGCCAAACCAGGGCTTGAGGGCAACTGGCCTCATACAGGTGAGAACCCGCATAAGGAGACCTTGTCCATGGGGTGGGCTGACGCAGGAGAAGGCCTCCCTCTCCTTTCCTTTAAAGGCTCATTAGTACCTACCCAGCTCCCTTGGACAGGCTTCCCTGGCCATGAATCAGTGAGCAGGTGGGAAAATGTCAGGCTCTGGGGTGGGTGGGCCACGTTCTGGCCCTGAGATGCTGTCACCTGAGCAGGACACCCTTGGACCTGCAGGCCCCTCCACTGGACAATGAGATAATACCTGCCACATCAGGTGTACAGGGCCTGGCACAGAGCAGCCAGCAGTGGATGTACATTCCTCCGGATGCCTTGACAGCCACGCCCACAGCACACTTCAGCCCCCACAGCACAGCCTCAGGCCCCACGAGAGGCAGGACATGGAGCCCTACATGCTGTGAAACTCTGAGGCCACAAAGGGGAAGCACAGCATAGCAGTCACAGCCTAATTCCGTGAGGGGTGGGGTTTCCTAAGGGGAGGTGGGGCTCAGCACCAGGGAGTGGGGCCGTCTCAGGCCTGAGGGCCTTTCCAAAGAGGTACTTGCAAGATTGGACTTGAGCCAGGGGGCCCTCCTGCCCTGGACGATGGGTGCAGTACAACTACCTATTCTGAAGATGAGCCCTTTTTGCAGCCCAGCTACCCAGAGGTGAGTCCAACCCCAGGGAGTGCTGTGAGTCTGCTCTGAACCACAGAGCCTCGGGCCTCGAGCCGGCTGGAGCCAGTTTACGGGGACATCTGTCTCCCTGTTGCTGGGCACTGCTCCCAGCAGTCTCAGACTGCCCTGCATGTGGTCAGCAGTTGTTCCAAGTCCCAGGAAGGAAAGACAAGCCATTCTTCCGCGACAGCAGAAATTCACTTTGAAAGCAAAAAAAAAAAGCCACCCCCAGAAGAACCACAGCCAGTCAGTGGGAGCTGAATGGCAGGCTATGCGCATGGCCCCAACAGATCCCAAAAGGCCACAGAGCACCTAGGGCTGTGAGTCAGGGGGCTCTACCCACAGCACCCCTTCCTTACACTCAGTCAGGCGGGAGGTGTTGAAACTTGGCTGCCAACAGTTCAGGAACCATGGCTAAAGGGGTGCAGCATCCCTGTGCCCAACCCTGCCAGCTGGCCAGATTTCCCCAAAGAGGATGGTAGCAGGAGGAGAGGACTAGCCAGGACAAGGACCCTCACTGTCCTCTGGTCCCCTCCCCTGCCCAATAACAAAACCTGCCCCTCTTGGAGCCCACTGATGACCACTCCCTTTCTGCTCAGCAGAATAAGTTGCTGGCTGGTATCCTTGTCATCATAACCCAGCAGAGAACCCAGAGCCCTCATCCCTGCAACCAGCCAGCCAGACCAGGCCTGCTGCAGCCCCACTGTGTGTTGGCACATGCCAGGTTAAGAGACAAAAAGATTTTGGACAACGACCCATAGCCCTCCGGGAGCTCAGATTCACATGTGTGTCTGTAGTGTAGTTTGAGAATGGCAGACCCGGTGGCTGAGCCCCGGGGCAAGGAATGGGGGCCCAGGCCCCAGAGAAGGGGACATGATGATGGGAAGAGGTACTGTGGAGGAGGAGAGTCTGAGCACTGAGTGGAGGCAGAGCAACAAGCAATGATCCTATGGACCCCCATGGCGTGGGTCATCTAATCCACCTACACTGGTTCAAACACTGTCCTACCAGCTCACAGGCAGAGCGCAGGGAAAGGGGCTTTGGGCTCCACTCTCTGAGAGTTCAGGAAGCCCAAGGGAGTGGAGAGGGGCCCAGGAAGGGTGGTGGCAATACCAACAAGCGTGCCAGGGTCAGAAGCCCCCTCTGAAGGGCAGAGACATCTACCTGCATCCACTGTGCAGTTGTCCACCCCCTGGAACCAATGCCCTGGAACACCTTGGTGCCTTCAGTACTGGACATCTTTGGCCATCCATCTGGAGAGCAGGGCTGGTGAGCAGCCAAACCCCCTCCTACAACCCATCTGTAGCTGCAGGGACACCTGGAGTAACTCAAGTGTTCCCAGGAAAGAGGAGTGTGTAGCTGAGAGTTGGGACCTAGGCTATTCATGTTTCTGGATGCAAATTCCCCAACCCAGAGCCACAGCTTCTGTGGAAAGGAGACCTTCCTGCTTGAGTACAACAAAGACCACAGTGGGGATCTAGGAGTGTAGGCCTGCTACTGTCCCCAGCTCCACCTGGAGGCCCTTCCTCTCTCTGTCCCTTCTCTGACCCCAGAGACCTAGCAGCTGCAGCTCCATCCTTGGAGACCAGGTGTGCACCTGGGGGGCCTTCAGCGCCGGGTCTTTGGGGGAGCACTGGATGGGAGGAGGTCAGCAAACACCTTTTGCTGCTCTGGAAAGGGTAGCCAGACAGGCAATCAGCCATGAGGTCTGAGCCAGAACCAGCCTGCTCTCCCTGCGCTGACAAGGGCAGCCCACCTGCCCCCCACTGCAGTACCACTTTGTCTCCAAACCTCTCCAAGCTCTGCAGGCCTAGACTCAGCACCCTGCAGGAACCATGGAGGTGGGGGCCACCACTAGATGTCCCCCCTCTGCATCAGCTGACTTCAGCACCAGTTTCCTTTGAGGCCAACACAGGACTGATTTGCTGTTAAAGAGAGACCGCTGAACGGCTGGTTGAGGAATCATCTTTCAAAATTAAATTCATCTCACTCACTCCCTGACCCTCTCTTCCTGCCATTCTGGTACTAAATTCCTTCTCCCCAGTGTCTCTCCAGCAGCCCACAAGACACGTGTTTAGTTAACACTGAAACCAACTCTATGCAGCCCCCTGAGGTCTGTGCACACACACCCCTTCCCTGCGCACACCCCACCCGGCCCCTAGATCAGACCCCAGGATCCAGGCTTTGGAAAAAGTGGGGCCATGCTGCTTACTTTCCCCCCTCCAAGCTAAACCTGCCGGCGAGGGCCCAAACTCCTCCAATTCTTTTCGAAAGTACAGCATCTGCCTCGGCGTGCAAATCACGTAGAAGGTTCAGGTTCGCACTGCAGCCGGGAGCGCACGGAGAAGAGGAAGGGGAGGAGGCTAGGTGCCTCGCCGCTGGGGCCTCCCCACAACCCAAGCCTGGAACTCTGCCGCGGCCACCCCCTCCACAGTTAAGGCAAAAGGTCGATTGTTCTCGGTGCCCGAACGACAAAGCCTCCGGAGCGCCCGCTACTCACATGCTGGGCTGCAGCCGGGGCAGGCGCGGCGGCGCGCCGGCGGCCAGGGCGGGGAGTAGCAGCACGAGGGTCAGGGCCACTGCGCGCCCCGCCGCTCGCTCAGGTGTCCTCGCCTTCAGGAGGAAAGTCATTGTGCCGCAGCCTCGCGCCGAATCCCCCTATCCGGGCCCAGTTCAAAGGCAATCCCGGCGGCCCTTCGGAGCCACCTTCACTTGAGTCATGGCCGGAGAGGGCACACTGAACACAGCCACAGGTGCCTGGGGCCCAAGGGCCACTGCAGGTGTGGAGGCTCAGCTGCCCGCCTCGCCTGGAGGGGCTGCACAGAGACCTGAGCGCCAGGTCCGCCCGCCAGACACTCGACGCCGAGCCCGCGCTCCCGCCGCAGCAGTAACCCAGTGTACGCGGAGACACGCTCCCGGATGCCGGCCCACCCCAGGCACGCCCCCTGACTCGCCCTCCGCCAGCCGAGGTCCCCCCCGACTGGCCCCGCTCCCAGCCCCCCAGCCCCTCCCGACCCCAGCACACCTCTGATCCCGCCCCGACCCCTCGCCCCAGCCTTTCCGGCCCCGGCTCGCCCCGACCCCGCCCAGCTTTGGCTAGACCCAGGCCCTGCTCCGCCCCAGGCACGCTCCCGGTCCCGCCCCCTCAGCATCCTCCCTGGCCCCGCCCCACCATGGGCACGCCCCCCGATTGCGCTACAACCACGATCCCTGCTTGGACCTTGGCCCCGCCTGCGTCTCCGCCCCATCCCCGCCCCTCCTCAGCTCCCACCCGGCCCGCAGCAAGTCCCTGAACTCGCCCGGACCCGCGCCCCGCCCCCAACCCGCGCAGCTCATTAACACTCCCAGCTCTTCTCAGGCTGGAAGTCCCAGGTAGGCTGAAAGACCTGAATGACCAACTGCAGCGAGGCGGGTCGCCACAGCACAGCGCCCTGCACTCAATGCAGCAGCAGCGAGGCGGGAGGGCCACGGGCCTAAGAGGTAGCTGACCACGGACGCTTTCAGACCCCCAGCCCTCCCGTCTCTCCCCAAATCCCGGGAAAGCCGACCTCGGCTTATGCTCCTCGCGACCTTCGTCCACGTTCACCCCAGCACCCCAGGCGCTGGACCAGTAGCCTCTTCCGTCGCCGTGCGCCCTAGGCACCCCCTTTGGGCACCCAGCATTCCCTGGGCATATGTCTCCCTATTTCTGTGCCAGAGGCGCCATCCGCATGAGGCCATTGCTCTGCGTTTGTTATTTCTCTCTTTGAAACCTGGTTCCGATATGCGATTGATTTACTGCAAGGCTAGTAGTGGGTCCTGAAGGAGGTCTTTGAAGAGTGGAGGAAGGTGAACCCTTTGTGGTGCAGGTTGTGTGGGGCCAGACTGGGGAGAGCAATTGGATATATTCATCAGCTGCTTCTGTGCTCAGGACAACTCCATCCTAGCCCCAGGGGCGTGCAGACCAGCTGCAGTCGGGAGGCCTGACAGAGCCCCTCTCTTTTGGGACCATCCTCCTCCAAACTTCATGGGATCTGGCCAATGCGGAAACCACAAGAATTCCCCACCCCTCACACAGAGCCTTGGAGCCCCTGCTGGGGAGGGTTTGGGGAGGCAAGAACCCCAACTGTCAAGGCACAGGGGACATGCACCAGCCACCCTCTCTGCATACCTAGAGGGTTATAATCACCTGAATGCGAAAGGGGGTACCCCCAAGCCAGCAGAACTGCCATCCCTGCTTTTCAAATGAGGAACCTTGGGGAATGCAGCACCCCAAGCCACCCGGCCTATAAAGTGCAGACTTGGGGACTAGGTATAGGGTCCAACTCCAGGGGCCTTCTGCTTACGAATCAGTGTTACAGCTCATGTAGTACATCCAAGTCCACATGATGCCCATCTCACTGGCTTCAGAAATCCCAAACACAAGTGGGTGCCCTGCTCACTAAGACCCCAGACTTGACCCAGTCTGCCTAACAGATGGCCTGCTCTGCTCTTCACCTTGTCCCTGTGCCCCTCATCCACCCACCCTTCCCTGAGATCAGAGTACTGAAGGCCAGCCCCAGCCCAGGTTTGAGGACAACGTTCTTCCTGATCCACCTCGAAATAAAGTCGTTAAGGTTAGGTACTTAGGAGTGGGGTGAGGCTGTGGTGGTTCGGTGGTAGAATTCTCTCCTCTCATGCCGAAGACCTGGTTTGATTCTTAACCAGTGCACCCCATGCACAGCCACCATCTGTCTGTCAGTGGAGGCTTGTGTGTTGCCATGATGCTGAACAGGTTTCACCAGAGCTTCCAGACAAAGATAGACCGAGAAGAAAGGCCTGGCAACCTACTTCCAAACCTCAGCCAGTGAAAGCCCTATGAAGTAAAATGGTCAGATCTGCAACCAATCATGGGGACGGCGCAGGACCGGGCAGCTTTTCATTCCTGTGTGCTTGAGTCAGGGCCAACTAACACCGGAGCCCATCCCAAGAAAGCCTCCCCCAGTTCATAATATGATTGTGTGGTTGTGGCTCTCTTCCCCATACCCCACCTCATCCTAGCAGGTCCACCCATTTTTCCACATCTTTACAGCTCTTCCAGAGCTATAATTGGCACAAAAATGGACAGTTGAATGAATTACTACCTTTAAGAATGTTCACCAGCTACTCCCTGAATTCCATGCTACCTCCGGAGGCCCCAGGGTGAGGGTGGGTAGATAACTAATGATTTCAGAAAAGTCTGCAACTTGAATGAAAGACCTTCCAATGCATCCTTTGGGTTAAAAAGGTTTCTGGGCAGGGGCGGAGCCAGGTTTTGTGGGATCTGCAACATACAACAGCGAAGACCTTTTTTAAGAAAAGTGATACAGTAATATGTTAATTTACTATTTTTACAGAAATAGATAACCTCACACACAAATGCCTAACCTCTACACACATACTTGGGTTGGAAGGGTCCCCATATTGGTTTCCCAGAGCTGCCATTACAAACTACCACAGGCTGGAGGTTTAAAACAACAGAAATGACCCTGTAGGAGTCTGGGAGGCACTCTTGGGAATGTACAGCCTCTTTCCACAAACCAGTCCAGGTGGGATGAGTCTACCTAGAAGGGAGGTCTGTGGTCTTCCTGGGCCCCAGACAAAGCTGTCATTCTCAGGCCCATTTCGGGATGATTGAAACACCTGCCCAGAGCTTACATCTCAAAGCAAGGCCCCCTCACAAAGCTTCATGGAGAAGGGGAGACCCTGGGTGGTCCTGGTGTATGCTAGCCCTGCCCACCGTCCACCCCCAGTGCATCTCCTCTGCACAGGCTGAAATGAGAGGGAAAAGCCAGTGACAATTGTCTACGTTCTGAAATGTCCTCCTGCACAGATGGCACCCATGTCACCAAAAAC